CCTTGGCCGTACAGCAGATAAGTACAATTGTAGATTTACCTCTTTCTCTAAAGTTACATCATGACTCTCTTCTTTCTGTAATCTATCCTAACTAATCGTCAAAACCATAGATAATAAGTACATTTTCCCCCCTATTTTATGCAAAAAATCCATAAGGGGTTTCCAGCCAGTAATAAATGTAGATATTGTCTTTTCTCTAACCCTAACTAAAGATACTCCAGTGTTCTAATCATTATGGTTATAACTCTTACTGTTATGGCCTGAACCAAGCTTAAGCACTTAAACATTTACTTCTTTTTCAGTTTCTGCTTAGAGTACAATAATCAGTGTCTTCAATTTACAAATAAAGCAGTTATGTTTATATGTTAAATGGTATCCTTATGTGAAACAGTCATCTAAAAATTTTATGAATTCTAAAATGTACCATGTACATATTTAAAACTTTCAGGATCTATAAATAACTCCTGGAAAAGAAATATTAAACTAAAAAACATGGAGTAAAAGTAGAAAATATAAGGTGTTATTTAAGAAGTATCTCTAAGCATGTGAATCCTTCCACAGTAGAGAATTTATGGCTCCCTTATACTCAAAAACAAAAAACTACAGTTCACATCGTCCCTATGAAACAACACCTTATCTCTGGTCTACAGCACTGGATGGTGCCCTTTCTACTCAAGTCATTTGTAACACATTACTAGAGGAAACAACCAGTCTTGAGAACCTGCAGGGGACACAAGAAGGGATAAAATGGCAAAATGTGTGTGACAGCATCATTCAAATGCCACAGCTTACATACTTGCATCAGATGTTGGCTTAAGAAAGTAATGGCAAAATTTCTGCAACACCACAATGTAGCTCCTTAGGTACTTTTCAGGACTACACATTTAGAACAGATTGTGTTGTACCAACACAACATTGTATTAATTGCACTAGTACTTGTTAATCCATTTCTAGGTTAATTCAAAGGTCTGCTTGGAATGTTTGAACTCCAACCCTAGGGTTCTGCAAAGGTTTGTTGGGGTTCCATGAGACACTAATAACATTAAAAAAGAAAGTCATTTGAAGTCATTCTATTACTACCGCTTTAACTTTGGTCAGGAGTTCTGGATTTTTTTTTTAACTAACAGATTCTGCAGCCTGAAAAAGTTTGAAAATCCCTGGTTTAAAGGACTCACTACACTTGTATAAACATTTTTTTTTTTAAAACTAAGATGGATATCAGAGGCCGTTCTTGTTGCTTTGCCTATCCTTCAGTTGGCCTATCACTCCTTTAAAGCTTTTAAAATTCTTCAATTTTAAGTACTGTAGTTTTTAATTGAGATGATTGCATTTAGCATATTGCAGAGTTTAAAGCCAATGTTTTACATAGTATTAATTTTACCACTGTCAACCTGTGAATGACTGATTTTATAATAGTGAGTACTGGTTTCCAAGTTGTGATATTTTTTTAAATACTCAAATTGTGTTTTTTTTAAAAGATTTTTTTTATCCCCCCCTTTATTATTTTCATAAATAACTCAAGGCTGTCAACATACCTAATCCTCCTTCCTCCTTCTATTTTCCCCACAATAACAACCCTTGAGGTGAGTTGGGCTGAGAGAGAGTGACTGGCTCACAGTCACCCAGTGGCTTTCATGCCTAAGGTGGGACTAGAACACCTGGTCTCCTGGTTTCTAGCCTGGTGCCTTAACCACCAGGCTATTATTATTATTGTTGATTGCACAGCCAACCAGTTGTTTAGACTGGATTTGGCATTTTTATCCACCTATTGATTCCTTCCCAAGGACCTGGGATGGGCAGATGTTGTTGTTCGATGGTGTTAAAGGAATTGTCACAGGATGGAAACTGTTCCAAGTAAAACTTCCTTTTGCAATTGTCTGGTGGTGATTTTGTTAATGCCGATGGTCTTCAAGTCTTTTATTATTATTAATATAATAATAAATGTATTATTTTAATGTTTATATATCCTTGTTGAAGACTGGATTTATTACTGAATTGCAATAATATTGTTTATATGTCTGTAAACTGGCTCGGAGGTAGTCTGGAAAGGCAGTGTGAAAGGTATGTGAATAAACAAATAACATTTTCCAGATATTACACAGCAATCTAGAAAGTTGATATTCTGCCAATATTTGAAAAAGCAGAAGTAATTTGTTTCCTGTTTCTAAAACAGTATTTCATAGCCAACAATATTAATACATCCCTTTTTTCAACTGTAAAGAGAGCCATCATTAAATGTTACTGTAAAAGGAGCTTGTTGGATTAGATCAAAAATCTGTCCAGTTCAGCACTCTGTTCCCACAGTTGCCAATTCAATGCCTATGGGAAACTGCCAAGCACAAGGGCAGAACAGGCTCTTCCCATTTGTATTTTTCAGCAACTGGTATTGAAGGGCAGAGTGCATCTGAGACTAAAGGCAAGATACAGCCAATACAACAAGTAGGTATTTTGGGTGCATTTGCCTAGTGCAATGAACCACGTGGTTGACTGGCCGGCTGGTTTTTTGCATGTGTTGCCAGAATGGCATAGTTTCCATGGTTGGTTTGTCATTAAGAATACATCAGCAAACTATGGAACAGCATTTATGAAAGTGTAAATTAGCCCTCTGCAAATCCCTGATAATTTTTACAATGACAGCCTGTTCGGTGGGATCAGGGAGAGAAGATATGTTCAGAGTCTCATTCCCAAAGGAGTTCCACCTGCAGGGATCCTGCAATCGCCCCCTCCCCCCTCACATGCAACTACTCCCTCTTGCACCTACTGACTGCTACTTCCCCGATGAGTTTTTATCAGGGTGGTTTGATGGAACATTTGGGGGACATTAACTTTAGGCCTGCCTCTGGTGGGGAGCACCATTATTGTCACATTGTGGTTTGTTGTTTTAAAGTTTCTGTTTCTGTTTGTATGCTACTCAGAACTGGTTGGTATGGCATAGCATAGAAATGGAAGGAAGGAAGGAAGGAAGGAAGGAAGGAAGGAAGGAAGGAAGGAAGGAAGGAAGGAAGGAAGGAAGGAACCATACAACCTTCCCCAGATGAATACATTGGGCAATATTTCTCTTTTCTCTTTCTCTGCAGCCTGTGGTCTGATCAGCCTCATTTTCAAACTTGACTGTTCTTTTGCTGGCTTTTCTCCCCACTTCAAATTGGGTCCTGTGTTGTTCAGTTTTTTGAAAGTTTATATTTATACTTTGGATAGGTCTCGATATTTGCTGTAAGGAATGCAACTATGCAATAAGATCATGTGAAAAACAATTTTTGCTTTTGCTTGAATTATTCTTTCCAAACCAAAAAATGTTGAAAAGAGATTATGTAAAGAAGCTCAGGATCCTGTCTGTCTGCGTGTCTGTCCATCAGCAGGATAACTCTCCAAAAAACAGGACAAATATGGAGTAGGGAGAGAAGCTTCTATAATGAAGACTGAGTTAAAAACCAGGATTATTTTGGCCAGGGGCAGTGGGGAAAACCATTCCGGAAAAGCTTTCCCCAGAACTTTCCTTGTAGTAATTGAGCTCAGGATGCTGCTAACTGCTCCCTTCTAAGCCCCTCCCTCCTCCCTCCTGGTCACATGACCAAAGCAAAGCATGCACAGCCTGTTCTACACTCTCCGGGCACATGTATCCACAAAACACACATGCAGATACAACATGCGGGGAGAGCAGGAACTCTCACACAGATTACCTCACTATACAGCAGAAAATTCAGGTGCCTGCTATGGTCTCAAGCCACCCTGCATGCTTTCCCTAATTTGTTTTAAATCAGATATTAAATGATTGCCACTTATCTTAAATGTCTGTGATGCTGGTTTTCAAAACTGTTGTTAATGCTATATAATTGTTCACATTATTCACTATTAGAGTCAATGCTATATATAAGGGATTAGAGTGTTTGACTAGGGCTAGGAGAATTTGAGTTTAGATCTCAATTAGTTAAACAGGTCACTCAGTATCCGTGGTCCAGCCACTCCTTCTTTCAGCTTAACCTCCTCACAGCATCACTGTGAGGATAAGAAGACTGCAAGGAACCATGTGTGTACTTTCAGGAATATTGGGTGATAACATAGACCAGTGTTTCTC